TTACGGTGATAAAGGCACAAAATCTACGACTTATTAAGTCAATCCCGTATCATATTTACGCCTCTAATTCCCATAAATCCTTATAAATACCCCACAGTCATTAAGTTCTCATAATCAATTACCTTATACGGTTAAAACCTCAACAACAGATTTTGGCCACGAAGGCCTAATTTCCCTTACTCTCAAATCAGTCTCAAACCTATCAGACCATCAGCTCAAATCCCTCAAACTCATTAAACTCACCAGAAATGCAACAACAATTCAATATTCAAAAATCTCTAAACCCTTAAATCAGATTTAAACACATTGAATCACATATTGAAAACAATGAAGGTAATACTCCCCATACCTTAATTGCCGACTCTAAGCCTTTCTCCTTGATTCTTGGAAACCTCGCGAAGCCTTGCCTCAATCCTCTTCCTCAGAGCTCTGGCCTCTATTTCTTCTCTTTTCACTGTCTAGCAAAAATGAATCATAATTCCATCAAAATTCCTTTTTGTTAAACCTAACTTTAGGCCTTAAAACTGGGCTTTCCAACTTCACCCTCACTAACTCCTCCTCAAATGTCCACTTTGCCCTTAACTCACTTATATTTATTTAAATTAATAATAATACGAATATATTCATATTATATACTATTATTTAAATAAATAAATCAAAATCCCATAATTCTCAATATTCACACCAACAACCGAAAATCACAAAAAAATACGAATATTCATATTTAAATAAATTAAATCAATATTCCAATAAATTTGGGTGTTACAACTTACCTCTCAATTTTCTCCTTTTATTTATTTATTTTTAATTTTTTAGTCAAAATATTACATTTTTATTGTTTTAACAAATAAATTATATATTTATATAAATAATTAACTCATACAAATTTATTAATTTAGATAAAATATAATTTTAATGATAATTAGTGTAAGAATCTTTTTAAATGATATTTGAAAGTTCTATTTCATTAATAATATATACATATCAAATGTAAATTATACAACAAAAATCAAATAGCTTAGTGGACACTTGAAAGCCTCACAAAGGAAAATGTGTTGGTTTGATTCTTGTTAGAGACAAAAAATTTATTTTATTTTAAGTTTTTTTAAATCGGTCACTAAAATTGGTCACTAAATTCGTCTCTAAAGGTTAGCGACTAGCACTTTTCCAACCTGGTAGTCGCGTTATTGGTCACTAAACGTTATAGTGATCGATTTTTAGGCTTTTTCAGACTCTAATTCAGTCACTAAACACAAATTTTTTTAGTAGTGGCCCCATTTAAAAGCAGGGCGGGGTGGACCAACTTAAGCGTCCAAGCTCACCCCGTTTACTAACGAGTTGGTGAGTCGGCCAACTAATTTTTCATTTTACAATTTGATTTACTACATAATTTACAAAAAAAATATTTATTGCCAAATAGGTCAACAAAAGATTATTTTAAGAACGCATAATAGAACTTCAACATACCTTAAGTCCAAATATTTTAAAAAATAAAAAAAATAAAGACCAATCACAACAAAAAAAATAACGAAATAAACTCAAGCACAATAAAAAAACGTATCTAAATAAATAAATAAATAAACAATTCATATCATCCTAATCCTATTTAAAAATTAACTATTAAAAGAACTCAATTAAAAATTTATAAAAGACAAACAATGATAGCAGTTACATTGCATAAAACATCACAGTGCATAAAATAGTAGTGCATAAAATATCAACACCTGACTTTCTCGATGTTTACATCATATAGACTCTTATATTGACTAATTCCTTAAGAGTTAAATCCTTAATTTGTCACACGTATACACTAATCAAATTCTTTTTTTTTTTTTTTTTAAAATCAATATCTATTTCTAAAGAAAACATTTGAGCTAATGTTTGACAACTTAATAATTCAGCATGACATACAATTGTTCTTTTATTTTAAGTTTTTCCAATCAACACATGTATTAGAAAGTTATAGAAAAAACGTTATAATTATAGTTCATTTTTTTTAATAATAATTTATAATACAATTCAATCAATATAAACCTAAGACACAAATGTTGTTTTTATAGTTAAAGTTGTTTTAATTTTAAGTAAAAAAATAAAAAGTTTTAACAAAAAGCCCATGGGCAAACCCGCCCGCCCTGTTTTTTCAAGTGAGTTAGGTGGGGTGGGACAACTTAAAGTACCGAGCCAAAAACCTCAACCTAGTCCGCCAAAAATGGCGGGTCAAACAGACCGACCTGGCCGGTCCGACCCGTTTTGCCACCCCTACACCATTGCTTTGTAAAACTCTCTAGCAACCAACCTCACAGTAGCATCAAGGAGCATTTTTGTTTTGAGGTTATAGATTGTGGTGCCAAGGTTCAGTGGGTTTGGGGTGCTACCCCTTTTTCAGATTATCCGCTTCTATCGCAATCTAGCTTTCATTGTTATGGGTTGATTAGTTGATCCTGCTGACTTTCTCGGCTTGTGCTCATGATGTTGTCTTGCCTGCGAGCCTCTGCAGCGACAATTGTCTTGTCTTCGGTTTCGTTGGTTTTCTGTGCTCTTGTTGGTGGAGGATCGTGCTACGGAACTTAGGTCCTTGTCGTCTTGGTGGCTCTTGACGGTTGTATTCCGGTTCTCGCTTCTGTTGCATTTCACATTGGCTTTATCAGTTTTGAAATTGTAGAAAGTAGTGTGAGTACCTTTTTCTTTTTGATTTGGTTCCTGTTGTTTTGTTTGTGGTGGTTGGTATTTTTTGGTTGTTTGACGGTTTGTTAGGGGACTTGTCAAGCCTTAGAGCACCTCCAATGGTGCAACCCATTTTTGGGTTCTTTGTGGGACCCACTCTTTTAAAACAACTCATTTAATTTTCACTCCAATGGTGCAACTTCAAATAACCCATATTGGGTCCCACCACTTTATTTAAAATATATTATTTATATTAAATTTATTTTATTTAAAATTATAATTTAAATATTTAAATTTTAATTAATATAAATACAAATTAAACATAAAATTAAAATTAAACATAAAATTGAAAATAATAATTAAAATTAAATTTAAATACATGTCACATAATTAAAAACAATAAAAATAAATAACATCACATAATTAAAAACAATAAAAATAAATAACATCACATAAACAAATGTAATTTGAAATAAAAAGATGAAAATTTGGCTTAAACAAATGTAATTTGAAATAAAAAGATGAAAATTTGAAATAAAATGATAATGAGAAGAAATTGTTGGAAAAAAATTAAATATTTATGAATAAAATGATGAAATTGTGAGAGAGAAATTTGAAATTAAAGAGCAAATAAAAAGGAGAGAAAATAGGAATAAAAAGGAGAGAAAATAACCTATATTTATAATAAATAAAAAAGTTAAAAAAATAAAATAAAGTTAAATGATTATTTTAATAATAAACCAAATGAAGAACCGTTGCTTATTTTTGTAAGGTTCTACATCTGGAATAACATTTTGTTGACATTTTCAATGCCAAGCTGACAAACCAATTTGAAAAACCACCGTTGAAGTTGGTCTTAGTGGTAGTCCAATGTCTCTTATTGGTTCCGTTGTTTTGTTGATTCATGTTAGTTATATATGTATTGTTGTATTGGTGGTTCTCTTCTTGTACACGCCTCATGCTGAATTGAGTTGTTTTAATATAATTCTTTGCCCTTTTTAAAATGATAAAATAAAACCTCAGCTTTATTATTAACCAAACTCTCTCAATTTGTTCTAACAATTTACCATTTTCCCTTTAATATAGTACTTAAAATATATTAAACAATAAAATAAGGATTAGTCTCTAAGTTAGAAAAGATTACTCGTTTACACAGATTGCAACAATTTAATTTATACATTTAAATTTTGTGTAAAAATTAAGCTATGACATTATTATTTTTATTAAATTACATGTTTATTTGTTTTTTAAATTGATACGTAAAAGTATCATGAATAGAAGTCAAGCAATAAAAAGATGAAGAACTTTTTTGTTATTTTTAAAATTCTTTTATCAATCTATTTTGTTTTTCAAATTGATACGGAATATTTGTTTTTCAAATTGATACGCAAAAGTATCATAAAAACGGTCCTACAATAAATAAAGTGATGCAAGAATATTTGATATGGTTATACTAGATTCAATCTTGCAATTCTATTTATATTTATATTTAGGGTGACACTCTCTATTTCAATAAAATATATTATTTTAGTATGTTAATTATATTATATAGTTAATTTAAAATTTTTAATATAATTTATCGAGATGTATAATCGTCATCAATTAACCGTCTAAAAAGATTTACACTGTCCGTGTATGATTTTTTTTCCTTATATTTATCACTATATTATACTTTTTATTTAAACATAATAATAATTAAAATGTCTCCTAATTTCAAATCCACCCATTTGAATTTAATATTTCTGCATAATTATTTATTGAACTAATTTATCAGAATATTAATAATATTTGATTTGATTTACACTTTTTATACTTCATTTTAAATGTAAAATAGATTTTCAATATATTTAATACTATAATTGTTTCTCTGATTATTTCTATTTAATTATTAATTTTTGTCTAAAAATTATTGTTTAAATTAATTTTACATAAATATATTTAAATATAAAAGTAAGAAACAACTTTTTAAAGTCAATTAATTTTTATTATGACAAAATCAAAACACACGCATCCGAAGAAATAAACACGCAAAATGATATTTTAAGCAGACCGCTCTGAACCATTCACCGGCCGGTTTTATCCAATCTTTCAATCCATTCCCCGGTTCACGGCTTTTTGTCTTGGCTTTTGTGCAGAGCGGGAGAAAAAAATAAATACCTTTCTCTCTCCTCTTTTTCAATTTCTCTCTCACTCACTCACACACTCTCTCTACTCTCTCGATCACTTTCTTCGTTTCCATATTCAAATTCAAAAAAACAAAAATAAAATAAAATAATAAAATAGAAAAAAAAAGAAACGTTACCTTACCTGACCTCACCTGGGTCCTCTTCAATGATATGCGCTGGTTAGTTTTCATTTTCAGCTTCGTTTTCCGATCCATTTTCCGAACCATCATGGGCTGCCTTTTCACTTGCTTCAGAGTCCGCGATAACAAACGCAACCTCCCCAAAACCTCCGACACCGCCGTCGCTGTTCCTTCTCGTCACAACAAAGCTAATGTAACGTAACTGTTTCTTTTTGAGACGACGAATTTGTTGATTGCACGTTCTGGTTTCTGAAATTTTAGGATTTTTTTTTGTTGAGAAGTTAATTAATAGTTTAGGAATTTTCTGGATTTTAGGATTTATGTATGATTTATTGAAGTTTTAAGGAGTTTTTGATGTGGAAAAATTATGAAATGAAATTCGCTGAAATGTTAGTTTGATTAAGCTGAGTTTGAACTTTTGTTTTCGCTTTGAAATGATGAATTTTTTGATTGCACCTTATGGTTTCTGATATTTTAGGATTTTTTTTTTTGTTGAAAAGCTACTTGATAGTTTAGGTGTTTTCTGGATTTTAGGATTTATAATGTTGTGAAATGATGGATGATTTATTGAAGTTTTTAGGAGTTTTTGTTAGAAATTATGAAATGAAATTGGCTGAAATGTTAGTTCGATTAAGCTGATTTTGAACTTTTGTTTTCGCTTTGAGATGATGAATTTGTTAATTGCACGTTCTGGTTTCTGAAATTTTAGGATTATTTTAGTTTAAAATTTTTTTAGTAGTTTAAGAATTTTCTGGATTTTAGGAATTTTCTGATTTTTTATAGAAATTTTAGGAATCAGAATTTTGCTGATACTATGTCTATGAGTGTTGTGTTCTGTGTAACTTTTAGTTTTGATTATTTTAGGTGAGTGATATAATTTTGCTCTTTGTAAACAGGATGATGTGGTGTCTCGGAATCGTTTGTCTACATTGTTTCTATCTGATGGTAAATTTAATTTTGCTGTTTTTATTGTTCTAATGAGTTCTTTTAATCAATTTTAATGTAATGGCCTCTCAGACTCTTGGTGAGTGTGTCCTAATTTTGTGCTTTAAATTTTGAAAAGGGGGAGAAGACATTGTGCACCGAAATGGGAAGGTTTTTGACGAGGGATCTCAGGGAGATAACATGGAGCTTAAAGATGAGGTGTGTATTTGTTTTTATTGTTTTGTATGGTTAACATGGCTGCAGCTGTTTGTTATTATGTGTTTATTTTTACAAGTTTGTCGTTTGGAGGTTTAGTTTGTTCCTGATATTAGACACCATGAAGGAAAATGAAATGCTTATTGCTAGGTAGTAACAGGACTTGTTTAATGGTCTGAATGCCTTAACTCAGATCATGACTAAACATCGTTTGTATACTACTCACCATGACGCTAAGCAAGCTTTGATAATACATTGTATTTTTCTGTGTCAAGATTCTAGCAGTACAGTAATTTACCAACTTACCGATAACACTGTAGCGGCACTATAACAGAATAGTGTAAGTGGGGGTAGGGTTCAGTGCAACCAGCAAACTGCCATCAACAATAGCGGATGTAGGGCCCATTAATTGCGGTGAAATTGCGGCCCAAACCACTATTGCCTTCGCTACTAGGGTTTTTGGATAAATTCCTCATATATTTTTAAACCGTTGTCTTTTTTTAAGGGTATAAATTTCAATTTGAACCCTTTTAGACACTGTTATATTCTTGCTCACAAACAATCCTTATGTTCTTCTTTCTACTTTTAGTTCAATTATGTTAGTTCTTCTTCTCTGCACAAGTTTGATTGCTTTATAATTTAGGTTTTTTTTAACTATTACGTACAACGACCTCTTTAATTTTATGTATTTTTCTAGTTTTTAGTAGTTATGTTACTTTGTACATTGGTTTTTATGTCGTAATAGCATCTATCCCACTATCCACTATACCGCTATAGTATTTTAGGGGGTCGGTGTTACACAAAGCTATCTGAATTTAAAAACATATTGCATCTTATTTTTTAAATGCGCTAGCACTGTTGAAATTTTAAACTTGTAGTCATTTTTTATTGTTGCAATTGATACTTTTAATGTTGCACTGTTGAAGGATGTCATTTTGATAAAAAAAAAGGAGTTTTTCAATGATAAATTGACAAATGTCCTTGTGTGACTGTCAGTGGCATATTTGCAGTTGCATTATATTTGTTATGAAGTTAGAAATTTTCGACTGTCCTTGGTGCATTTCTGACAATGATGTCATATTATATGATCCATGAGCCATGCATCTATCTGCTGTATCATTTAATTTTGAGCATATGCATGGCCTGGCACAAAAAACTTTTTTAAACTTCAGATATACTCAACTATTTAAAATAGCTGATTTCTTGCTGGTTGAAGGAAATGAGTATTCGTAGAATATTTTGTCAAATTTGTTTTTGAAATTTAGAACTTGAATTTTGTTTATCATGAGTGAAGTGAAGTATGTTTTCATTATTACATGCTGAATTCTTTCAAAGTCATGTTTAAGTCATTTCAATATTCTGTTTTATTTGTTGATTTTTACTTTATGTGTGCATATTTATTTATGTTTTGTATTTTTTAAGTTTCTTCACATGATTTGTTGAATATTCTGCAGGCCAAGTTTCTAAAAGCATGTGGTACCATAGTAAGTACCCCTGATGAAATTCGGAAAACATCGGGGAAACTAAAAGTTTCACCTTCTTGTAGTAATGATTCTGGTCCTCCAAAATTCCGTTCTTGGCTTCTTGATACATCTGCTCAGAATGTTCCAATTGACGCTCAACCACTCAATCCGCCAACTCCGAACAAACAGTGCGAAGAATCGGAAAAAAGAACAGATTATTCAGACCTCACGCCAAGCAGGTTATCAATTTCTGTATTTAATCTGTTTAATGTGAATTGAATAGTATTGAACCTGAAGAAACAATCATTCAATCAACTTAGGTTGATGTTTTATTATTTACTCTCAGTACTATGAGAGCACTAGCTTGTTTAAAAGGCTTCAAGGTTTAGCTTATGAATAAAAAAAACCTAAAAAAAAATGTTTTCATCTATAAAATGGGTGAAAATAATTCTTACTTTTTGTATTTTGGATTTTTAAGGGCATAACTTATGGGGTTTTCACTGAATGTGCACATGTATTTTATTTTTTCATATTAGATATAAGTTTTTCAGAACTTGATTTCTTTTTCATTTACAGCTGTATCTCCACTGCACACAATACTCAATGTGATTATCAAGACTCTACGGAAGGAAGTGGGAGAGGGAGCTGCCATCCTACCGATGGAACTGAAGTGAATAAGGGGAGGAACAAGTCAGTGCGTTTTGAGTGTGAAACTGATATTTCTTCCTGTGAGTCAGTGGCGTATGGTGGATGGCATAGGAAGAAAACAGAGTCACCAAGTCCTACCCCAACAAAACTATCTGAAGGGATGCAAACTCCTGGAATTGTTTACCCTGCAAATTTAAAAGACTTTTCAAATGATAAGCTAGTTAAGTCCCAATTTGTGTATCCAAATAGCAGTGTCGGTGAGGATGCCTTTAAGAACAAGATACTTGAGGAAGAGGATTATGCTTCTGTGCAAGATTCAAGGAAGCAGAGCGAATCAATTGAGCAGTCTCATAATACAACTTCTACACCACGTAAAAATGAATCTCCAGTGGAAGAAAGCTTGTCTTCTTGGTTAAAGCCCGCATCTGTCATTTTGGAGGAAAGAAGAAAGAAAATGGAGATGGCTCAGATCCGCAAAACTCCTGCTGACAGGCCCATCATTGGGATGGTTGCTGCACATTGGCATGAAGAAGAAAATTCTGATGCTCCTCCTCCAAAATGGTGGGATGGCAATGGAATTCCAAATTTAACTAATAAATACAAAGAAGTATGTCCTATAGGAACTGTTTTTATGTGAAAGATTTAGAAGTCTTGATGCTATACCTAATTAGTGCTGATTGTTTTTCAGGACCAGAAAGTGAGCTGGCATGCTACGCCTTTTGAAGAAAGGTTGGAGAAAGCATTATCAGAGGATCCCGTCATCTCTAAAAGGTATGCTGATATACACACTGCTCTTTGCTTGTGAGCTCTATTCACCTTTGAAAGTTAAAATAATATTTGGAAGTTTGTCTTTATGATGCATTTCTTTGCTAAAATACTTCATACTGAATGATACACATAATAGTCCTTTATGTATTTCATTGAATTACTGGGTTTAGCATGTGATTGAAAATAAAATGTCATTACTATTGGTTACAAAGTACTACGTCAGCAAAGTACTATGTATGAGCATACTCTCTTAACATTTTTTTTATCACATTTTAAATGGATCTTACAATTTTGATAATCGGTCCTACTAACTCATACTGGCTCGTCATAAATTTGTGGGATCTGTAAATGTTTCAAGAAATCAAGGGGATATTAGAGGAACGGATTTGTGGGATCTGTAAATGTTTCAAGAAATCAAGGGAACGGGGGGAGTATTAGGGGGACGGGGTATGAGTTGCTGACATTTTTCTGTTGTAGTTAGATAATGTTGTCATTTCGATTTGTTATTTGGTTCACAGGAAAGATATTTGCGGAAAACCAATTGCTTTTGATGAGAATGAAGAAAGTGACACTGCACTGTCTCAGATGAAATCTTCAACTCATCCACAATCTGTGGTGTCATTTTGATTACTATAGTTGTTTATCATCTCTCGTTTCACTACTCTGGTATAAGAGATATGTATTTCTGGATTAAGTCTCAATGCAGCGCCGATTGGTTGGAACAAACAATCAATCATTTAAATTTTGTGACACTAGAGTTAAACTGGTCACTTGTGTTGTACATAATTGTTGGCTGATTGTTGAATGTCTAGATTTTACATGAACTTAGTTTTTGTTAGGAGTATTTATTATTACTATGTTATTAGTGCGAAATTTTCACTGCATTTGTCATGTGTCATGACTAATCTTTATTAATATTACAGTTGTTATTTGGAGTTAATGCATCTCGAGATAATGTTTTTTTTGTTGTTGCTATTATCTGAGAAAAACAAAATTTTAATAAAACATCAAAATTGTATGTTTACAGACATTTCGATGTCAAATTTATTTAAAAAAAAACATTTAGGTATTAAATGTTATAGTGTATGATTTACCAACTTGTAAATTTCAAAAGGTATTTAGGACTTAGTTAGGAATGGAAATTAACTGTACTGACTGATAGTGTTTTTAATTCATGCAGTCGTACCTTTTGTTTAAACGCATTAGCATTTTTCTTTTATAGACGTAGTTATCTCTGAAAATATCAAAGTGTAGGCCACAGAAATCCATTTAAGCTAACAATGTTCATCTCTTTAATTATTATTAGTAATATATATTACATTTTGCCAATTGAAAAATATACACTTTTTTTAATATTAGATCAGTTTTTTTCTCTCTTGCATTTTCTTGTATTTGCCTCAACTACTTAAAAATAATAATCTAATTTTAATAACATTGAAAAAATAACAAAAACTATCCATTAACTAAAACTAACAAAAACTCAATTCACACGTTGCTCAGAAAATACATTTGATGAACTTATAAGTAACTTTTTTTTCTCTCTTCATATTTGTATCAATTGTACATCTGTTCCGTGTATATATTTCTTCACATTTATTCAATTATAACTTTAATAATATAAACTTCAATTAATAACATAATATGAACACATTTAACTGATTAAAAAATAACAATTTTTCCAGTGACGAAGAGCATCGAGACAGTTTGTAGAGCGTTTCTTTGGACGGGCAAACAATACTTGAGCAGAAAAGCTCCAATTGCTTGGAGTAAAGTTTGTGTGCCTAAGAATTACGGTGGGATGAATGTCATTAACCTTAGGAGCTGGAATAAGGTTTGTTTGATTAAGTTGTTTTGGAATTTATGCAGAAAAGCAGATAATTTGTGGGTGCGCTGGATCCATACATACTACGTCAAAGAAAAGCAAGTCATGGATGTGGCAATAAAATCCAGTTGTTAGTGGATTTTAAAAAACATTCTATGCCAAAGGGTTTGAACATAACCGGAAAGTTTGCGAACAAGAAATTCTACTATGACCTCTTGGATCACTCTGAAAAGCTTTGTGAAGGAAAATCATGTTTAATAATGAAGCGAGGCCAAGAGCGCTATCTATGTGGGTTGTCATAAAAGGGTGGCAACAAAAGACAGATTATTTAAATTTGGGATTATTTAAATACGAAACCACAAAGGAGAGTTTACAACATCTGTTTTTTGAATACGAAACCACGAAGAAAATTTGGCGTGGGGTCCTTCATTGGTTAAATGAGAATCATGAAGAGTTGGAGTGGATAATACAAGTTAGCGGTAAGAAACATTGGAGAGCTAAGATTTACAAAAACAACTTTTGCAGAAATAATATGGTTGTACAAAAATGCAGCGTTATATAAGGACCCCACATTTTATATAACGCTGCATTTTTCTTTTAAATATCTCAAATTTTATTTTTAGTCCTTTAAAATATTTCTTTTAATAAATGATTCCCATTAAAATTTTCATCCACATTTTTGTTCCTCATGCAACTTAGCAACGATTTATACAATTTAACGACAAAATTAGCGACTGCTTATTACTTAACGACTGAATTAACGACAATTTTAAGGACAATTTTTGTATTAGAAACAAAATCCTCCTTAAAATTGGGAGTCCCCTAAAAATTCAAAGATAAATTATACGACATCCAGTGCGTATACTTTAGGACTCCATACTAGGATCACCTCACGAGATTCTATGAAGGTTCATAATTGCAACTACAATTTAAGAAAAATATTCTAAACGATAAACCTCATATTTATTTTTGTCATTGAGTTGTTCGTTAGACTGTTTGCAACTAAACCCCTTTATCTGAGATCAAACTTTTCTAATTCATGGGTTGAAGGTGAATTGAGAATGATGATGAATTTTAGTAAAATATTTTGCTTAGGTATTGTTTTATATTTCATATTGGAACCATAATTGATGTTGATTGATGATGTAGGAATCTAGAAGAGATAGTGTTGATCTCTAATATAGTGATGTAGAGTGGGCCTGTAAGGTTAACACTCTAATGCCAAAGTTAGTATGAGGTCTAAAATGAGTGTAATGAAAGATGAATATTAGAAAAGTGTACCTTGAATTTCACGTGTACTGCCAATATATGTTGGATGATTCCAATTGGGATATGCATGGTTGGGCTTCCTCTTTGGATCTTTGGGTGATCTAGTACAGTTGCTCCCAAGGCTTGTTGGGTGTTTGCTAACTAGGAAGTCTTTCAAAGTTGTGGCCGACATCTTGTTGTTGTGTTCGAGCATAATTAGAAGTGGGAAAGTCATTATGTAGTTACAAAATTAATAAGGAACAAATGCATTAAAAGAATTTTCCATCATTGAAACCTCTTGTTGGTTTTTCGAGCGCGTGTAGAATTAGACTTGCAAGTTAGGGCATGACACTTTTCTCTAAGACATTCAAATGCACTTGAATTCACTTGTATTCCCAAGATAAAATTTGGCAGTTGATTTGTAAATTTCTATTTTCCATTGATCCAATTACTTTTTGCAAGAGTAATTTCCTTCTTTCTCAAGCGCATTACTTTGAGAGTTTGCATTCTCTAAAACAAAGTTTTCCATTCCGCATTCAATCTTTACCTTCTTTGTCGAACTCTACTCTCTCCAGGTATCCTTCTTACACTTACACAGATCTTATTTTATAGTTCTTAGTATTTACTTTGTCATGACTAATATAAATGACAATCACATAAATTTGTCTAGTGATTTTGAGAGTAGTGGGTTCCCCCCTCTAGTTAGGGCATAAATGTTTTCTAGTTCAGATTCTCATTGCCAAGTTAACAAAAAAGGTAAAATAAATACAAATTTAAAACATATTAAATAAAGAGAAAAAAAACTTAATTTGAGAATAGAAGACTAAAAGTGCATTTAATATATATTTATTTTAATATTCTTTATTATAAATATTAAAATGAGTTTAATGGAGATATAATGGCATTGTAATTTTTTTTTACACTATCATCCAATAAAAATATGTCATTATTGTTGCAGTGAGAATCAGATATCAAGCTATTGAATTAACTTGAATCACAAATCATGAAGTTCACCACCGAGCTTTGATTTATCCAAAGAAAAGGGTAAAGATCGAAGAAAACTCTAAGTGCGCTATGTAACAACACAACTAAGAGATCTAAGGTTCGGGGTTGGTTATACCTAGGGAAGGTGTTAGCATCCTAAGTATCTGTAGTACTCTATAGGAACCTCTTGTTAGTATTTGTATTATGCTAAAGTTGCTTGCTAAGGGATAAGTGCTAATGTAAAGATCTAAAGTATATACAAAGTATGTAAAAAGTTTGCTCGCCAAGACATCGCATCTCGTGCCTACGTATCCTGACGGGAATGGAATCAGAGCAACCGTAGTTCCCCTCAAAAGGGGTGAGGAACTCTTGACTGTGGTCAAGGTTCCAAAGAGAAAGTAAATGTCTGCGGTGAGACACCTACGTAGAGTGCGGCGACTCTAAACTAAGTTTAAGTTAGCAAGGAAGGGAATATCCACGGCGGGAGGACTAAATAGAGCACGACGACTCCAAGTCCTATGGCAAAGGTAAACGTGAGAAATATCCACGGTGGGACGACTACTTAGAGCACGACGACTCCAATTCTAAGTTGCAAATGTTAACAGAAAGTTAGTTGTTAGTGAGTTGTGTAGTCAAGAAAATTAGTGAAGATTAAAATCAAAAATAAATCCTACATATTCACATTCTAAACATGATTTTAAATTAAAATATTAACCTAACAAGAAGATATTTTTGAGGTTTTTTAATCAATAATAAAAAAAATTAATTTAAATAACTATAATTAAACCAATCTAAAACATAAAAAAGAAAATTAGAAATATTATTTAAGAATCCTTTTAAATCAATAAAACATATAGACTAATAAAATGACAACATATAGAAAACATTGAAAATCTTCTTTTAAAAGAAAAATGAACAAGGAGTAAGGAAATCTGGGCCAGCAATGCAGGACAATGTCAGCAGGCCGGGTAGGGTCACTATGACCCCACTGGGGTCTTAAATAGCTCAAAACCTAATTTTGAGAAAATAGGAAAGGAAAAATGGAAACACGAGACCTAAAAGCAAAAAAAACTTGAAACGTTACCTCACGCCGGATGCCCGTGTTGTCGTATCGCCTTCAGTTTCTTCACTTCTCAGCTTCATTGTGTGATTCTCGTTCTCACCTTCCAATCTTCTGCTGCAAAGTCCCTTTCTCTATTCTGCGGTATTTTCTCTTTCAAAGCTTCTGTCTTGCTTTCAGTTCCTCACCTCCGATTTCCAGGCGCAAATGTTGTGGATGGGAATGATGGTGAAACGATTTTGAATGAGAATTTGGGTGGTGGAGCTCGTATTGTTATTGGAAAATTTAGAGGTGAGGATGAAGTTCTGGCGGTTCAGAATTGTTTAGTGGGTGGAGTTATGATGGTGTAAGGGTTGTTTTTTTTGAAGGATTAAAGGGAGAAACAGGGTTGTTGATGGAGAAAAAAAGGTTTGGTTGTTTGAGAAGAAGGTTTGAAGTTTGGTCCCCTTGAAAAGAATGTTCCTCTGTTATTTTATTTTTTGAGTTTGTTGATAAGTGTTGGTGGTTTTTGAA